GTTGTGGTTTTGCAACGGCGGCGTGGCAAGGAGGCAGTGGCGGCTGTAGCTTCTCAGAGATCTAGGGTTCTTCCTTTGTTTTGGTTTTGGGCTAGATGTTTGTTTTAGGGTTTTTTATTTCTGTTGGGCTGAGGCCTTGTACCTATTAGTGTTGGGCTGGTTTTTATTTTTATTTTTCTGGCTGTGTAATCCCTTTCATTTTTATGAAATGAATTACCTTGACCAAAAAAAAAAAAGCTTGCCAAATTGACTTGAAGTTTCGCTGGTCCTTAATTGCAAGGATAGAATTTTCTATGATGATTATTTGTTTGCATTTACGCTTTTTATTATTATTAATCAGCAGAGCTGGAGTTGGAGAGTTAAATTGGAACAAGAATCTGATATAATTAAGAAACTATATGTCACTGTTTTTAAAATCATGATTTGTAATAACTATATAATTAAGCACAATAGGATTGTATTTCTTTGAGAATCATGTTCTGTAATAATTATTATTGCTTGCAGCTTCTTTTCTTTCGTCTGTTTTTTCCTCACTTCTTTGATATTAGGGAACTTGAGAATGAACATGTTCTGTGACATGGAGAAAATGATGTTTTCTTTTATGTATAATTAAGCACAATAGGATTGTATTTCTTTGAGAATCATGTTCTGTAATAATTATTATTGCTTGCAGCTTCTTTTCTTTCGTCAGTTTTTTCCTCACTTCTTTGATATTAGGGAACTTGAGAATGAACATGTTCTGTGACATGGAGAAAATGATGTTTTCTTTTATGCCTAAATCGGCCGAACTAAACCGCATCAAACCAGATATGAATGGTTTGGTTTGATTTGGTTTTCATTTTGATTTTAGCTCAAATCGAACCACACTGAACCGTGAAAGTTTAATTGGTTCAGCTGTGATTTGAAGGTGAAACCGGAGCAAACCGGACCGTGTCCACACCTACTTCTATCTATGTCTTTACCGCTCAAGAGGAGCCTCTTCATCTCCTCTTCTGAATAGTAAACAAACAGGACAAATGAAAGGCCCAATTTTAGTCTGCAAAACCCAGAGTTAGGCATTGGATTCTACAAGTAAATCAATCCTTTTGAAAAAAATATTCAATTACCGAAAACTACACTTAAAATCACGAGGAAAACTTATGCACATGGCTTACCACAGCCTCAAATGCGACACTACTTTTGAAGGAACAATCTTTTCTTCTTTAATCATGTATCATGGCTTTGTCCACAATTAAACAAAATGTTGTTACATGAGACATGTAAACAGTTTTGATGGGAATACAAAGTCCAACCTAAATTTGCAATAATTTCTCAACTAAGGAGGCATAAAACTATGCAAGCACTTTTTCTAGTGTCCAAACTGAACAAGGACTTTAAGAAACACTGCAAGTGCAAATGAAAAAAAAAACGAGGGTTCGTGCATCCAAACTTTGGGCCTTCCTTCAACCTTCTCTCAAACGTGGAGACAAACAATAGGCAAAGGAAAGGGTTACATCAAACATCAAATTTTTTGGATGGAGTGGAGGGAGATACAAAATGGGGCAGGCTGACTGGGAATTTTTGTAATCCTCAAATACGCTTGTGGGGCTGATATGAATCGGTGGTGGTTATAGAAACATTGTTCATCCACAAATCACACACCCATAACTGTTTTCCAGCAGAGGACCATCATTGAGATTATCACACAGATCATCACATAGATCATCACGCAGTTACTCAATGATTTGAATATCTTGTAACTTGTAAGAGAAAAGTGTAGCAGAAAAGATTCTAATTTTTGCTCCAGAATAATTTCATCAAAGTGTACTATTCACTGAAGTCATAGACAAAAAAACATTTTCAAATTCTCTCCCTCTTCTTTCTTACTATTTATTAGGAGCCAAATTCTTATAAAATCCTAAGCCAATTCTTATTCATTTAAGATTATAAACAAATAATTCATTAAAATTAACAAAAATTATTCTTTTTACATAATTATTGAAGGAATACTAATTAATTTCACATTTTTCGCACAAGCCACTAACACACATTTCTTCAAATTCACAACGAGAAAATGTGCCATCTTCTTCTTTTTCTTCTTTTCCTTATTCTTTTTTCTCTCAAAATAAATCTTATTGATACTATCATTCTCTGGTGTATGACTTTGAGTTATATGCAGACCCACACATCTACCTGAATACTATCTTGAAGCCAGAAAAATGCATATAGAAAAAAGTTTAGAACTTTATTCTCATCTTAAATGAGTATCTATTCTCCTCAGGCATGCGAAGACTCAGGTCCGGCTTATGAACCTCATCATCATCTTCCTCTACCAATAATCCCCACAAGAGCATACCCCATCTTGAAAATGATGGTACCGGATGGGATCTCTTATCACAATAACTCTCTCCTCCATCTTTGCTACAAGTTTTGCAAATATATGACAGTCTCCACAGATCCTCAGGTTTTTCCTTATCCTAACAGTCCTCCCCTTTGACAAGCTCATTATACCAAAGACAATTGCCAATTTCTCGCTGTGGGATAGGAGCGAAACTTCCCTCTGTTCTCCCTCAAGATCTTGCAAAACAAAATTCGTGTCTGGAACGTATCCCATTCCCATTAGTCTATCAACCAACAGGCTCAGCTGTCTATTGATCTCATCTATTTGTGGATGTGAGTCATCTCCCATAATAAAAGCATGAATCTGTTTGTCCACTTCAATCCAACTGCACCCTGGTTCTTTAGTAACTCCTCTAGCTCTCATGCTCTTCCTAACTTCTGCAACATCTTCCCATCTCTGAGAATTGGCATATATGTTGGACAATAGTATGTAGGTTCCGGCATCATCAGGGTCCATTTTAAGAACTTGCTTGGCAGCATATGCAGCTAAATCCACGTTGCGGTGAACCCTGCATGCACCGAGCAAAGTCCTCCATGTCACTGCATCTGGTTCACATTCCATTTCTTGAATTAACCTTGCTGCCTCATCTACCTTCCCAGCCCTTCCAAGAAGATCAATTACACAACCATAGTGCTCTCTTCCTGGATCAATCCCGAAAAGCTGCTTCATATTCTGGAAGTAGTACCACCCATCTTCTAAAAGGCCAGCATGACTACAAGCAAATAGAACCCCAAGAATTGTGATGTAGTTTGGCTTCGTTCCCGAAATTTTCATCTGCTCGAACAATCTCAGTGCCTCTTGGCTGAAACCATTTTGTGCTAACCCTGCAATCATGGTGCTCCAAGAGATTACATCCTTCTCCACCATCCTGGTAAAAACAGAGTTTGCATCTTCCAAGCTCCCACATTTACAATACATGTCAAGAAGGGCATTGTTCAGAATTAGATCTTGACCATACTTTACTGCATGAACATGAACTTGTCTGCCCAATTCTAAAAGCGCTAACACCGTGCAAGCTCTCAGAACACTCGTTAATGTGGCCTCTTCAGCTGCAAAACCAGCCCCCTTCATCCTCTTGAAAAGGTTCAGAGCCTCATCACCATCGCTGTTCTGAGCAAACGCTCCAATGATAGAGTTCCAAACGACCAAATCTCCAGTCACCATCTCATTGAAAACGCCTAGTGCATTATGCAACTCACCCAATTTCGAGTAAACGTCAATGAGAGCACTCCGAACAAAAACGTCAGATTCTAGCCCAACTCTAATAATACTACAATGAAGCTGCTTGAGATTCCATAACCCGTCGCAAGCTCTCAAAACTGAAGAGTAGGTGAAGCTATTAGGCATCACATCTTCTCTAAGCATCAAAACCAAAGATTCCAAGGCCTTGTGGTTTAGCTTGGCATTAGAGTAAGCCGATATCATCGTCGTCCAGGAAACAACGTTTCTCTCAGGCATTTCGTCGAACAACGACTGTGCTTCCTCCAGGAGACCAAATTTAACATACATGCTGATGAATATGTTAGTTAAAAAGGTCTTGGGCCGGTACCCATTTGAGAAAACGTGCTTGTGGACAAGCTTGCCCTGTTGAACAGCTCGACGAGCCAGGCAGCACTTGACGAGCTCCGAGTAGACGAGGGAGTCGGCCCAAAGTCCACGCCTTTGCATGGCTTCCAAGGCTGTCATTGCGCTGGGTAGGTCTCTCTGGTAGCAAAACTTTGTGAACTCATCAACCAGAGTGGACGGCGGTGGTTCTGCCACGTTAGCCATGTGAGAGCAAGGACGTGACAGTGAAAATGGGGGCCATGCTTTGCATTTCAACCTGGAGATGGGGATGGCTCTCATTTTTTAGAAGAACAGAGTGAGAGGGAAGGCGCATTGCTAATTGACATTTGCCGGGTAAAATGTGTTCTTTTGGGTAGTAGATCAACCAATATTATACTCTTTGTAGGCGACAAAGTGCAAAGGTTCTTGACCTTCTCAAAGGTTGCTAATAGCTAATGATCGCATTGGAATACGCATACTTAATTTCCACTTAACTAAAATGAAAGACACAACACAATTTTAGTCACATTCTGTGCCTGAACTCGCATGAAATTTTATGTATTTCAAGTAATGTAGTGTTGCTAAAATGTTCCACACAAAAACGCTCCAAATTGAAACCCTAAAAAGCAAGAAACTTATAACTCGAATGATTAATAACATTTATTCCCACATCTCGACTCTTTTGTTCAATTTCCTCCTCCTCTGTTATCGCTTTTATATTTACTTTTTAAATTTATTTTATTTTATTTTAGAATAAAAAAAGATAAGGGATAGTTGTGTTCTATAAAAATAGGACCCATATTTTGTTTTTAATATGAAAAAGTGTGAATTTACCGTATTATCTTCATTTAATTAATAATTTAAATTTTTCATATTTGCATTAACCAAGGGCCTTTATATATAGATAACAAAGAAATAAAAAAGCTTTTTACCAAAAAAAATAAATAATAAAAAAGCTGAAAATACTTCAAAAAATGACTCAAACATACACCAAAGCTTATTATAATAGAAACGCAGCGTTTCGGCCATTTTAAAAGATACGCACCGTTTAAGTTGCGAGGGAGGGACGGTGGGAAAGAGTCCTCGTAGTCATTACCAAAATAGAGAGACGTGTCAGCAAAGCAAAAGAAGAAGTTCCAAATCCGTTTGTCTTCTTCTTCGCCAATCGCCGCCCCCAGCCGGACCGGCAGCAACCGCGTCGATGACTCAGTGAGCGCGTTAGGGTTTAGAAATCGGATTCGCGCGTTTCTGAGATTAGAGATGTCTCTGAGAATCAAAATTGTAGTGGACAAGTTCGTTCAGGAGCTCAAAGAAGCTTTGGATGCCGATATCCAAGACAGAATCATGAAGGAGAGAGAGATGCAGAGCTACATCGAAGAGCGCGAACGCGAAGTCGCCGAGCGAGAAGCTGCTTGGAAAGCTGAGCTCTCTCGCCGCGAGGTTCTTTTTTCTACCATTCTTATTCTATTAAGTTCTTTAATTTTTTTTCATTGAGACGTTCTGCCAAACACCTCTAGTGCAATCCTATTTTCTGGTTTGAATTTAATTTTTTCATCATGGTATCTCTATTTTGTTTGTTTAGATTATCAAATTTGTTTCTTTTTTGTTTGATTTAAGAACCCAATTGGATTTCAATTTCTTGTTGTTGCAGAGATGCAGAGGCACCAAATTTGAAGTTCAAATTGGTGTTCCTTTGCGTAGTTAAGCAATGATAAATATGCCCAATTGTCTACAGTTATGACTTTGTTTTATTGTTGAATGCAACCTTACCAAGTTCACATCAAGCTCAGTTCTTTTCACTCTTCATGACCAAGTTGCTTTTTAACAATGCCCAGCCAGCAACTTCTCTTGTTAATATCTGAATTAAATGCTATGTGGGTGTTAAAAAATATCAATAGAAGTTAGATGCAGTTTTCTCAGGACCATAAGTTTTTCTCTGCTTAGCTGCGTAGCTTGTTGTGTGTTTATTACAGAAGAGCTATGTATGTTTTGGCAGTCATCCCTGTAATCAAGTTTATTTTTTAAAGTATTTGTCTGCAATTGCTAATTTATCAAACCATTAAGTTCCGTTGGAGGTGCTGATGCACTTCTGTTTTCTGTTTTAGCTTCATGAAAATTGTTCTGTTTCAGGCAGAGATTGCCAGGCAAGAAGCAAGGCTGAAAATAGAGAAGGAAAACCTTGAGAAAGAGAAAAGCGTTCTAATGGGAACTGCATCAAATCAAGATAACCAAGATGGAGCTCTTGAAATCACCGTAAGCGGTGAAAAATACCGGTGTCTCAGGTTTGCGAAGGCAAAGAAATGAGCCATTAGAAAAAGGAATGCTGAAGAAAGAAGCCTTGATTATGTTAGATGTTCTACTTGCTTGGCCATTTTTTGCAAATTTCATTCGTTGTACGGATGCTCTAATTCTGTATATCCTTGCATCTTATTGCAACAAATGCCCCAAGTCTTGTCATTTCATATCATTCAATACAATGTGGCTTGAAGGAAATTATTTAACCTTTTGGTAAAAGTTCTTTCTGCGAAAATGGATTAAGCAATATTGAGAGTTGAGTTTCGCATCTAAGCATTATTGTCCATTAGTGATTCTTTTTCTATAGAGTCAAACTTCTCCTTGCGTTGCGTATGGGTCAGCCAAGTATTAAAGTCTTAGCACAAAATTTTTAAAACTGAAGTGTGTTAAAATCTTAGCACATAATTTTTAAAACTGAAATCCGACCATCTTCATTTATAAAGCATCTGAATTTTAACAATTGTGGTTGGCCCTGTTATATATAAGGTAACCATGTTGTGTCATAAGGCCAATGGGGCCATACCACAGATGTAGACTAAAGCTCATCCTTTTACAATTACTTTGGAAACGAAACTAAAGCTCATCCTTTTACAATTAGTTTGGAAACGAAACGACCCTTTTGAAATAGACTAGTATTGAACGCGATAGGAAATTTTGGTGGAGTCTCAACAACAAATCCAAAAAAGTTCGGTTGTAGATAACTGAAATTTAACCTAATATTTAGTTGTGTTCCACTATAAAATTGAAAGTAGTTCTCGAGTACGTCTTTATAGGAGATCTGTGTAGCATTGAAGCTTCACATCTCTAAAATTATTCTGTTGGATTTCCTTTGAGGATCAAAGTTTGAAGTGATATTATTATTAAGGTATTAGTTTTTTCAAGGTACCGATGGAGTCTTGTAACGGGCCGGTGAGTCGGACATATTTCTTGAAAGACCTTCATGTCAATAACCTCGTGCACATTCAGGAACTTATATACCAACACATTGAAAGTAGCATATTCTGAAAGCAATTTCTTCAAGCCAATACTAAAATGCACTCTTTTGAATTTTCGAATAAAATGACTGATGTGAGAGATAACACATAAATTAGTTTCCTCCAATATTTCATTGCATTCTATAATTGTGTTCAGATAATATAATAAGGTCATCAGAAACATAGAACTTACCAAAAAAAAACATATGAATTCAAACTAGCAATTGGTAGTTATTAAACATCAAATGAACGAAATTATCACAAACCACAATCATTTCATTCCAATGACATGTCAATAATCATGTCCCTCACACAACTATGCTCTAAACACCATCACCGTCCTCATGACATTTTGTGCACATTTCTAGAAAAGTTACAAACTTTTTTCGGGTACAATGTTAGTGTTTTAATGAATTCTTATATTTTTCATTTTCTTCTGTTCTTCATGTTTTTATATTCTTCTTATGTTTTTCATTTTCGTTCTTTCCTCTTCTTTTTCAATTCTCTCTTCTTCATCTTCTTCTGTTCTTCTTCTTCATTATGGCTTCTTTTGGTTAAACTAATTACAACAATACAACAAGAAATGCAAGATTTTCCCAGATGTTTAAATCTGAGCGAAAACCGTTAGAAAAACCAAAGAAAAAAAATTAGCCAAAAGAATAAACTGAAAAAACATAAATTAAAAGCTGAAAATAGTAACCAAATGTTGATACCAAGTTATATGAAGAACTCAAAAGCAACCAAATGTTGACATATAAATATATAACACAGTAACAATAAATAAAAATTAAATACAAAAACATAATAATACAAAGACTCTTTATATAAAATAAAATAAAATATTCAGGGTAACATATTCTGTGGTGAAGAGTCTGAAATTTTTTTTTTCTGAGAAGAATCCAGACTCTGTTTCTATTATGAAGGACGCAAATATCAGCAAAAATAAACAAATTGAGGCTGAAAAAATGATTGACAATTTGACAAACCTCTTTGATTACGAAACTGAACCACAATATTATTCTCTGAGAGTTCTTGAGAGAGATTATATACAGAGAGGATGGGGGGGAGAGAGAAAGCTACTGAGAGAGGATAAACGGGTGGAGGTTATCGGATTGATGGAGTTGGTGGGACGTCAGATTGATCTTTATGATTTCCATGTTTTGTGTTGGAGGTGTTTTCGGAAGAGGGATGAAAGCAGAAGGAAGAAGCCTGCATCACAGGGCTAAGAACTCAGCTGTTTTCGACGTGATGAGCTTCGGCGCCTGAGCGGACGGTCGAACTTGGATCTCAGTGCCCTGCTTTTAGTTTTCTTTTGACCAGCTCTTTCTCATCATGTGAATTTGTTCGCTGTAGGCATTTGTAGTCATTTTGCTCTATTTTGACAAGGAGATACAACTGGTGCTTGTAATTTCAGGCCTTCATGGCAGTATGGCAGGAGGCATGCCAGTCTCCACGTGTCAAATGGTATAGCCGAGCGGCTATACTATTTTTAATATAAAAAATCCAAGTATGGCCGTTCGGCTATACTATTTATAAAATAATAAAAAAGCAGGCCCCTATGTGCCTAGCGCAACCTCGCCACGTGTCAAAAATAGTACAGCCGATCGGCTATACTATTTTATATAATAAAAACCATCGTATAGCCCGGCGGCTATACAATTTTAACTGGTCGGCTATACTATTTATGAAATAAAAAAAGACGGCCCACCTGGTGCCTAGAGCCATTTCGCCACGTGTCCTAAATAGTACAGCTGCGCGGCGATGCTATTTTTATATAATAAAAACCATAGTATAGCCGGTCGGCTATAATGTTTTGAATATAAAAGAGTAATCCGAGTACCCGCCCGGTGCCTAGCGCCCATTTCGCCATGTGTTTAAAATAGTATAAACATTCCGAGTATAGCCGCACGGCTATACTATTTATAAAATAAAAAAACGTAAATTGATGACCCGATGTAGAATTTTATTTTTTAAAATTTTTTATTATTATCGGGGATGCGAGTTGCTGCCGTAATCATAGAGAGAAGCCCAGGTCGTTGAGGTCAGGCGCACACCCACAGGCGTCAGACTCAGAACTCATAAGGCCATAGCGTAACGCTATAACCCAGTTTCAAAAACAATCCGTCAGCTGTTGCTAAACCTCTCGAACACATACAGCTTTTACGAAACCTCTCGAACGCCATAACCCAGTTTCAAAAACAATCCGTCAGCTTTCTCGCATTTTCTGCACCCTGCTCTGCTCGGTACCATCGCCAGCAAATCACCCCCCTATCATCCAAGTTTTGCCAGATTGTCTCCACAGGGTCTCCTAAGTACCTTTCATTCCTCTCTCTTCTCTTCTGAGTTTGGGTATCAATTTATGAATTTGATGCCACTCGTTGCATATAATTTGTACGCTATGATTGATATATCTACCCGTTAAAGATTCTACTATTAAATTGTAAAATGGGTTGAAATTGAATTGTTAATATTTATTTACATTAGGCATTAAATATATCTCAAAAGGGGTGTTGGGAAATTTTATGTTGGGATTTTGCATGAAATTTTATCAGAACTGTATGAATGTTGTTATCTTCTTTGCATTGTCTGGTTTTCGATAGATGAGAGATTGTAAATTTTAGCATAAGGTGCAAGAAATCTGATACATAATGGGCCTTTTTCCATTGATAGGGTAGAGGTTCTTCATTTCTTCTCTTATTTCTTGTGATTCCTACCTACCCACCAGTGAAGTACATTTTTCTATTTAGGAAATTTGGTTTCTGTTAACCTGCAGATTAATTATGAACACTTTATATGGCGGGCACTATACTGTGGTATCCCACGGATGTCAATGGGAAAATATCTGTTAAGGGGAGTGTTATTCGCACTCCCTATCGTCCTACTGTATTCCAGTGCAGTATTGGTGTGGGGGAGTGCCTAGTAAAAGTCAAAGAAAATTTGATATATCAGCACATAAATTATGATTACTATGAAGTTGGAATTGAGGCTCTATTGAGTTCGGCTGAGTGGATTCGTTGAAACGAAGAAGAGAGTATCTGTAATGCTTTCTCATTAGTTGGAGATGGACCTCTGGTCTATTCTAGTATTTGATCAATAGTGTGTACATATTGTTTATAAATTTCTAGTTTATCTGTTGTGAAGGTTCCGATGGAGTCAGGTTACAGGCCAGTGAGTCGGACATATTTCTTGAAAGCTCCTTATTCTTTCAGTTGTGTAACTTTTCTGACCTTCATGTCAATAAGCATTCAGGAACTTATGTACCAGAAGTAGCATTTTCTGAAAGCAATTTCTTCACATCAATACTAAAATGTAATCTTCAGACCAAAAAAATACAAAATGTACTCTTTTGAATCTTCGAATAAAATGATCAATGTGAGAGATAACACATAAATTAGTTTCCTCCAACATTTCACTGCATTCTATAATTGTGTTTAGATAATTTAATAAGGTAGCAAACAAAAACATATGAATTCAAACTAGCAAATGGTAGTTATTAAATATCAAATGAACGAAATTATCACAAACCACAATCATTTCATTCCAATGACATGTCAATAATCATGTCCCTCACACAACTATGCTCTGCACACCATCACCATCCTCATGCACATTTTGTGCACATTTCTAGAAAAGTTATAAACTTTTTTTTGGGTACAACATTAATGTTTTAATGAATTCTTATGTTTTTCATTTTAATTCTTCCCTCTTCTTTTTCAATTCTCTCTTCTTCATTATGGCTTCGTTTGGTTAAACTAATTAAAACAATACAACAAGAAATGCAAGATTGTCCCAAATGTTTAAATCTGAGTGAAAACCGTTAGAAAAACCAAAGAAAAAAAATTAGCCAAAACAATAAACTGAAAAAACATAAAATAAAAGCTGAGAAGAGTAATCAAATGTTGATACCAAGTTATATGTCAATTATGAAGAACTCAAAAGCAACCAAATGTTGACACATAAATATATAACATAGAAACAATACATAAAAATTAAATACCAAAAACATAATAATACAAAGATTCTTTATATAAAAAGAAAATAAAATATTCAGGGTAACATATTCTGTGATAAAGAGTGAATTTATTTATTTTTTTCTGAGAAGAATCCAGACTCTGTTTCTATTATGAATGATGCAAATATCAGCAAAAAATAAACAAATTGAGGCTGAAAAAATGATTGACAATTTGACAAACCTCTTTGATTACGAAACTGAACCACAATATTATTCTCTGAGAGTTCTTGAGAGAGATTATATACAGAGAGGATGGGGGGGAGAGAGAAAGCTACTGAGAGAGGATAAACGGGTGGAGGTTATCGGATTGATGGAGTTGGTGGGACGTCAGATTGATCTTTATGATTTCCATGTTTTGTGTTGGAGGTGTTTTCGGAAGAGGGATGAAAGCAGAAGGAAGAAGCCTGCATCACAGGGCTAAGAACTCAGCTGTTTTCCACGTGATGAGCGTCGGCGCCTGAGCGGACGGTCGAACTTGGATCTCAGTGCCCCGCTTTAGTTTTCTTTTGATCAGCTCTTTCTCATCATGTGAATCATTTGTAGTCATTTTGCTCTATTTTGACAAGGAGATACAACTGGTGCTTGTAATTTCAGGCCTTCATGGCAGTATGGAAGGAGGAATGCTAGTCTCCACGGGTCAAATCGTATAGCCGAGCGGCTATACTATTTTTAATATAAAAAATCCCAGTATGGCCGTTCGGCTATACTATTTATAAAATAATAAAAAAGCAGGCCCCTATGTGCCTAGCGCAACTTTGCCACGTGTCAAAAATAGTACAGCCGAGCGGCTAGACTATTTTATATAATAAAAATCATAGTCTAGCCGGGCGGCTATACAATTTTTAATATTGAAAATCCGAGTATAGGCGATCGGCTATACTATTTATAAAAAAAAGGCCAGCCTGGTGCCTAGCGCCATTTCGCCACGTGTCCTAAATAGTACAGCCGCTCGGCTATACTATTTTTATATAATAAAAACCATAGTATAGCCGCACGGTGATACTATTTTTAATTTAAAAAATTCGAGTACCCGCCTGGTGCCCAGCGCCCATTTCGCCATGTGTTAAAAATAGTATAGCCGGTATAAAAAATTCCAAATATAGCCACGCGGCGATACTATTTATTAAAAAAAAAAAAATTGATGACCTGATGTAGAATTTTATTTTATTATATTATTTTTTATTATCAAGGATGCCATAACCCAGTTTGAAAAACAATCCGTCAGCTTTCTCGCATTTTCTACACCCTGCTCTGCTCAGTACCATCGCCAGCAAATCACCCCCCTATCATACAAGTTTTGCCAGATTGTCTCCACAGGGTCTCGTAAGTACCTTTCATTCCTCTCTCTTCTCTTCTGAGTTTGGGTATCAATTTATGAATTTGATGCCACTCGTTGCATATAATTTGTACGCTATGATTGATTTATTGAGTTTGGCTGAGTGGATTCGTTGAAATGAAGAAGAGAGTATCTGTAATGCTTTCTCATTAATTGGAGATGGAGCTCTGGTCTATTCTAGTATTTGATCAATAGTGTGTACAGATTGTTTATGCATTTCTAGTTTATCTGTTGTAAAGGTTATGCAATTACCTATGTTTGCTTCTTCATCCATTGTTGGTTTGTTCTTGAGGTCACTCTTGTTTCTTAATGTTTTAGGTTTGTATAGTTAGGGCATGTTTGGCATGCTTCACTATGCCTCACTGGATTGGACTGTGTTAAATAGTCCTTGAAACCTATGTTTGGCAAGGGTGGGGATTAGTTTAAATGAGACTATATAGCCCAACAGTTAAAAAAAGCCCGAACTTGCACAGCTAATATAGTGAGTCCGAAATTGGGTTCGCAAAATAGCACACTTGCTATTTTGAACACGCGAGTCCGACTTCCTCCCCACCTCCACAGATCCAACAGCTCTCCACCTGGACTTCTTCTCAGAACGATCTCTCTTCGCACTCCACCCACTAGAAGAACCCAGGACCATGTATCTTTGCCATCTTAGTCCAATTCGTAGCAGTTCCAAAGAAAAAAAGAAAAGCAAAAAATAATGAAACTAGAAACAGAGAGAAGAAAGAAGGAAAAAGGAAGAAAAAAAAGAAGAAAAAAAAAGATGATGCTTTAGAGGGGTCTAGAAACCGCTTGATATGTGTTGAGTCGGCTTAGTTTATTTTCATATGAACAAACCCTCCATTGCGCTTAGACAATGAAGACGGCAGTGCTGGAAAAAATGGAGCCATCTTGCTGATGTTGCCAAATTACTCATCTGGGATTACAGGGTTTGATGCCCTGGTTGGTGGCGGCCCACAGAGAAATGGTGGCGATGAAGCCAGTTGGTTACTGGCGATGAGGCTACTTGCTGATCTCTCTTCACAGTTGAGGGAAAAAAAAAAAAAAAAAAA